ACCGCCGAGAATTATTTCGCGAGCCTCGCACTTCTGGCGCCGTTTATCAGCAAGTTTCTTACGTCGCCTGTGGCCGAATTATACATTATCGGACGATATAAAATCGTAACTGAAAACCATCCAACTACGTACATCGGACGATTGCTACGATAATCCCAGAATTTTCATCACAACTTTCAGCAAAAGGAAATCAAAGATTCATCGAAATCTTAACAGAAACGTTTCATCCAACCATTTAGACCATTGCAATTTGCAATATGAAAATTGAAATATATTTGCGAAAAAAAAACGTGTGAGAACGATCGAGAGAAGATATATTCTAATATTTTTGTTGAGGAATAATTGAAGCGTTCGATGCGCGGTCGAAACGGTGCGTGGCTCGATTTCGATTTCGAGGCTACGAAACAGGGAACTCGTAGACACCGGGGCCCCCGGAGTACGAGGGAGTCTGGCCAACGCCGTTAGCTTCGAAACCCGCCACTGACTGTCAGCCTGTATACGGCAAGCAGCGTAAGAGCGCGCGAAGGCCTCGGCTCTTGCGAGCAGCCAGCAACGGAGCGGCAGACAACGCCGCACGGATACCGCGCGCCACCTTCCATACGGCAAGCAGCCTAAGAAAATTCACCGCGAACATTTTTATTCGGTATCGGGTAAACGAGCCGCGTCATCGGGACGCTTCGATCGCGAAACAACGGCGCGGAAGCCGGCGCATCGATCGTCGATCGTGGTTCGCCGGCAGGCCGGTTAATTTCGGCGATTTTGCACGACATTCCGTAAGCAGCCCGAGGGGAGAGCGTGCTCGAGGCTCTTGTGAGAGAAGCGTACGGCAGCGTATCGCGCGCGACGGCCACAGCCGTCGGCGAGGCAGTTCTAAGCGAAGTCGTTTTCTCCGTGAAGGCGCGGTGAAAATGTCTTCCTCCTCCTCCTCCCTCCTCCTCCTCATCCGCCACGAGGAACCAACTTCTTTCTCCCTTTATTGTTGCTGACGGTGTCTGCTTACATATATATCCATATCCGAGGCGTTCGCAGCGCTTTTAACAGACAGAGAAGGAACTGCGACGTTTCGCTCCGCGCGTGAAAGTCCCTATGTGCCTGTGCAACTTGAATTTCGATCGATTCCCGTTCGTTCGTTCGTTCGTTCGTTCGTTCGTTCGTACGGGGGAACGAGGATCCACGGCGGCGTTGCGGAATTCTCCGGCAACCGGGAATTCAAAAGAAACTTCAGCCCGAGAAGAATTCGATTGCGTTCGATTGGCTCGTCGTGATTGACAACGACGAGTCGGTCAGGCAGAGATCGTCGTTTTCAAAGAGATCGAACCGCCGACCGTGACGATCTGCAACGCGTTTCATCTGGCGTTTCAGCGAGACCTTCATTGAAGAAGGAGCGAATATCCCTCGTTGTACTCGTTATCGGGCGATTTTAACGCCGCGAAACGAACAACTAACCGAAAGAAAGGGAGGGAGGAGACGATCGTAGAGAGTGGAAAGTAGAAGTTTTAACTGGCGGCTCTTAGTGCCGGCGCGAGAATGCGCCAATGATTCTGACCGCGGAAACGAGCGCGTACCAACCGTTTAAACCCGCTCACTCGCGAGCACCACTGCATGCAAGCGAATATATATATATATATATATATATATAAGCGTAATACCTGTGCCACGACAAACGGAGACCAATGTACACGAGGACAGACGGACGCGTGGCTTCGCGACGGAAGTAAAGCGCTAGTCGGGTTTACGATTGGTTGAGCATTGCGCGACAGATGAATTGTGGCCAATGAATGTCCTTGCTCTCTGGACGAGGCCGCGACGACGTAAGCAAGCCTTATTCGACCATTATGAACCGCTTGCGTATCTGCGAGACCGCGGATGCTTGCATCAAACGATTCTAATTGATTTTGAAAAAAATCAATTCGCAATTTTACTCTTGTACCTATTACGCGTGGCAATAGCGGATTGATATTTTTGATAAAAGTTCCACGCTGCCGATCGTAGATATCGAAATACTTACTTGTTATATTTATTGGAGACAAATTTCATTTCATGCTAGACAGATGTTTCATGTTTTACAATGTGCAGAAATGTAAAGAAAAATGCTTCGAAGCATTCTATAATTACGAGTCACGATTAATTTTTTTAATGAACATTATACTTCACATTTGCTGTTCCTTCTTTTGATTGTAATTCTTTCTCTCTCATGATTTTTCCTTCAGTTTTTCTTTTTTCATTGCCAATGATAAAAACGATGTCAAAAATGATCTAAACTTTCTTTTGATATGATTACTAAACTTTCTCATCTAGCGGTAGAATGGGAACTAGATGTCGATGGTACTCGGCGGTGGGGATAAGGAAACATCGAGGAACTCGCGGGGCATTTTACGATCGTCTTCGAAAGCTGCGACTTCTGTGCACTTCCGGCCTGGATTCTAGAAGCACCTCCAGGCGGTTTTCTTTTCGTGGAAAGGAAAAGATAATTCAGCAACCGCTGAAAATGTATCGATTGTGTTGGCTACCACATCGATCTTTCTTCCGCTATTGTTTGTTGAGAGTTAGATCATTAATTTTATTGCTACGAAAACATTTTAAAACTATATTCCAAGACTAGACGATGCAATCTTTATATTTGTTTTATATAATTCGATATTAGCGTAAAATTAAATACATGCTGTGTTAGTATTTCTTAAACTTTAAAATTATAATTACGTTAGCACTGATTTAGTGATAGTTGATCAATCATTTTCTGAGAAATATTGCAAATTTAAAAATATTTGCGTTACAACTGTTGCGGAAATGTCTGGGCATGGATTCGAAAAGGCATCTAGGAAAATCGTGTTACGTTAGTGGTGTAGCGAGCGAGGATATTTGAAAAGTCAGGTCAGTTTTCCTGCGGCTCTCTTGCAACCGGAAGTTACTCCTTGGCCGCATTTCTCCCGTGCTCAAATCTTTTTCTCTTTTTTTTCTTTCAATAACGCTTTTTTTTTATCTTTTACTTTCGAAATATAATTTACACGTATTGGGAAATAATTTACTCGTAATGCCAGTATTCCTTGTTTTTGATTCTGTTAAAAATTGAAATAATTGGAACTTAAATTTTATATATTATTAACTGGTGCTTTACATTTTATTTTATAAATTCTGTTACTGTTTTTTTATTGCACAAATGTATTATATTAATTAATAGTAAATTACGGTAAAATTTCGTTTATCCGAATATGTCGGAGATTCAAGATCGAGTGTTAATCAATTATAAGTTTGCATATATGAAGCTCAACATCAACTAATTTCGTACAAACGAAATTCTGCTGTATATCTATTTTTAAGAAATTTTAACACGAATTATGAAAACTCTGTTCACTGTTCAAATCATCCGAACAATATTACGTATTATGATCACAACTCCGCGGCATGAAAACCCCTAGAAATTCAGGAAACGAGATTTCCTGGAAACGAAATCTAAAATCCGGTCATTCGATCCCATCCGCGCGAGCTGACGAATAATCAAAAATGAAATTATAATTAAATAATACTGTTATTGATATTATAATCAATTATTATAATTAATGATTCAAACCACGATATATTTAATCTTTCGTTTCCACGGGGAAACGTTAAACTCTTTTCGTAATTTCATATATAAACATGTTAAAATCTATATTACAAACTCCGTAGATACATCGTAATTATCGTTAATATATTCTCTCGCGTGTTGATTAAAATAACAGAGGTAGTTCATTGTTGTACATTTATTACGTTGTAAAGTACATACACTTGCTCGCGAAAAGTGTTCGAATTTTTTATTTATGTTTCGAAATCTTTGAAATCTCATTAACACTATGCCGACATTCGATTATCAGGATTAATGTTAGTTAAATTTAGTTAGTTTAAATTTGAAACGAACCTAAAAATACATATAGAAATTACAAGATAGTTATTGCAAGTATACAGTTCACGCACGTCACTATTTAAATAACCAATTATTCATTATATTAATAAGTCTTAATATTTAGTGAGACGATATTTAACACTTATTATACAGCTTGAGATAACTACGCACACTGTGTATTAATTTTTTATTAAATAAAATATATTTACAATAAATATCTTGTAATTTCTACAACACATTTCCAAATTAGTTTTAAGTTTTACCAATTATAATAGTCGTTTCTCATTATACTTTTAAATGTTTTATACACTACACAACATACAAATGAAATTTTTTTCCCGTGATAAGTACTCAAATATACTTTCGTGAATTACTGTATATATTATTTCTCACCTGCTTTAGCGGGATTTATGGTTAACGAAAATTTTCCATCATGGCTGCACTTGCTCTTGTAAGTTTTGCTCCTTCTTGTTTGACCAATCGAGTCTGTTAGTCACTGTCTGTCGATAATCCTTCAAATTCACGTTGTTATCCAACAGTGAGGACCCAACAGCAGGTGGAAGTGCCTGGTACGGCTGAATTAAAAGCACCTGTTAACATACGATCGGTTCTTCAGTGACAACATCTGAACGACATCGCGTAAGTATAAGTTAATCAACTAATTCGACAACTCGCGCATGACTTTCGTACACACTCATCATACTCGTGCTAATTATTGATAGCTTCGAATGTATCTTGAGATAAATCCCGAGATAATACGTTTCTAATCTTAAGAGTATCAATCACGTCAAGTAAAACAATAAAGGATTCTAAAAAAATGATCAATTTCGATACTGAGTGGAACTGAGAAACGGAGAACATTGAAGTATTATGTGCTTAAACATATAAAAAAAAAAAAGAGTAGAAAGTTTGTCATTTTACAATTTTTCTCACAATTCTTCACACCTCGATTAAATAGTAGAATATTCTTTATTCTTGGAAAATAGATACATTCTAGTGTCTTGAAATCTTTCTTTTCTTCGAATAACTCCAAGTATAATATTTAAAAAAAAAAATTTCCTCTTTTGTCATTCCCTATTTCAAGATAGAATTGAAAGAATTTAATAATTGGTTCTTTTTACGACTCCGTTCAATTATCTTGGAACAATCATTATATCTGATCGAAGAATTGAAGAGATATTAATTTCAAAGTAAATTACATAATTTTTTGTTAATTATCTCAGATAATCAGTCAGTTAATATCAGATAGTTAACAAAACAATATATTAACAAATCTAAAACTTATAGTTTGCACCAAATATCGAAATTTTACTGAAACTTGCCCTTCATCGAAGATATCCTAAATCTGTTGAATAGCAGTGCATACCTGCAACCATTTCAAACGACGCGAAAACAACAAAACGAAATCGCGAACCGTATAAAATCGCGATTAATTGAGATACTTAATCTCCGGAGCGAACAAACTGGTCCTCGAAGCGTTCTAATAAAATACGGGAATAAACAGGGAAGAATTTTTAAACTCGTGACATGAAGTTCTGCTCTGATGAGATCAGACTCTGATGGTTGTTAATATCGTGTGTCGATCGAGTACTATAAATTCTACGCAGGTTCGTGTGCCAGTAGGATTAATACGAAAAGGAGCCAGATATAAGAAGAATAAAATGGCTCGCGGTAGCGGCACCATTCAAAAGGGCGGTCACGCTAATAGCGACGATCGAATCCTCATTATGGATTCCGATCGTGGCCATCGATAAAGATCGGCAATAAGATGCCCTACCTCCTGTGTTCGAGCAAGGGATCCCTTCCGCTTTACGGGCAAGTGCCACGAATTAATTCGGATCGAATCGTTCTGGATTAGCCTGGGCAAGAAGCCTTGGCAATTTCGACTCGACTACTGACCGAATGAACACCGTGTTTACGTAATAGGCCTAATCTTGAGTACGTTTAACCCTCGTGGTCACTCGAGTAGAATAATCGCTATTTACTTTATTATTGATTTCTTCATAATTTTTTCCTTGTGGCTTCAAGTCGCAAGTCTTCT